TTTTTTTTTTTTTTTTTTTTTTTTTTTTTTTTTTTTTTTTTTTTTTTTTTTTTTTTTTTTTTTTTTTTTTAATATTAAACAACACATTAAACAAACAAACAAACAAACAAACATGGGGCCATCAGGACTCCAAAATCTCTGCAAGAATAAAGGATGTGTGGGAAGTAACTTATCTCCCAGACAATTTCTGCTTGAAATCCCTCAACTTCCACAGGGGCAGAAGATCAGTGGCAGGAAGATGGTACACAAGGGAGTCAGAGTTCCTAGGCCAAGCTGTCCTTTCCCCAGTGCCTTATGGGTTTTCCTCCCTCCTATGATGTGGCAGGGTGCTGCATTGGTACCCCAGCCCTGCCCCTCACAGAGGAGAGGTGAGATGTGGGTGGTCAGAGAGAAAAGCAAGCGCTGGCACTTCTGGAGGCAAAGCAGGATGAAATTAGGATTCCCAGGACAGATCTTGTCAGGGTAAGGGAGTCTCTGAAGCTGCTAACTCCTGCCCTTCAAGGCTTATGTCTCATGGAAGCATTAAACATCCACTGGCTTAGCAGACAGCCTGCTCAGAGTGATGAGAAGGGTCCTGCCAAAGGGTACACATAGGTGACCCAAAGCCCAGGTCCAACCTTTTCCTTGCTCCATCCATGGGGTTATGTCATCAGAGTGTTCCTTCCCCATGAATATTTAACCGGTCCTTGCAGAGCTCTGCTCCGGTGACCGGTGAGTACTTAATTAACTCACGCAAAGTGCAACTGCTTCCAAGCAAGGATGGGCTGAATGCTCCCATAGCACTCCAAAAGTCAGATGCCCCAGGGATGCAGGCACTGCTTTATCAGCCCAAATGGATCTGGCCTCATCAGTCCCCCAGCCCTTTCTCCGAAGTGAGCTGGGATTGCTCACGCCAAGGATCTAAGCAGCCCTTAGAATGCACAGATTAAACATTGACCTATCCAGCACCGTGACATGCAGAAAATGAGCTGGGACTTTAGACCCTCTTAAACAGGAGTTAAGCAAGGGTTCTGAGTGATGAAACACATGCCAGCCAGCTTGAAGGGCAGCTGCAACCCTAAACCCCTTTGTGCACCTACCCTCAGAGCCTCCTTTTTCCAGACCAAATCTATCCCCAGCAACTCCCTTGACCTCTTGATACATGTGGCACAAGTTTGTCAAGCCTCTGTTCAGGTCCAAGCTGTGTGGTCTCTTAATCCTTAGACTTTTGCCTTTCCAATGTGTTTACCTGCCTGCTGGTACACAGACAGCATCACTTGTCAAATAACCCATCTGGAAACAATTCTGTCTTTAAATAGCTTTCTATATTAAAATTCCTTTTATAACAGGTTATCAGACACTTAGGAGTTGCTATCAGGTTCTCAGAGGGAGAGTATACAACATGTTCTAGCAGAAAGCACCATAGGTAGCTGTACCATGGTCATAAACAATCTATTGCCCTGTCAAACTCTGCAAGAACTTATTAATCATTTACCAAGCCCTTTTAGACTGTTTCAAATGGGATCTTTTTAACAGAAAACACACCCAAAGCAGAAAGCAGTTCCCATCAGCTCTCATTTCCCATAGCAGCCTGGCACACACAGGCGTCTTATAGGGGATTTATTGCTAAAAGGGGCCCCAGGGAGATTTTCTCACCATTTTTTCTGCGTATAGATGACATGAGAAAAGAGGTAACTGCTATCGCTGCAGCCAAAGAGGAGGAGCAAGGGAGAGCCAAGGTTATCACATGAGCTGCCACAGATTAGCTACAAAGCCAAGAAGGCTTAACACAAGGGGGAAGTGGCTGGGGGATGGATGCAGAGGGTGAAGTGACATTGCCAAGTCTGCAGCTCATGTGGTGCATGCAGGGGCACCAGCATCCCTACCAGCAACACCCAGCACTTAGGGAGCACCTAAAGCAACCCAAGGAGGTGGCCGAGGAGGGATGCAGCCAGAGTTCCTTCTGCAAAGTGGTGCAGGATCCTGCTCCTCCTGGGAGAAAAGCGCCCTTGTGTCCCAAAGCAGGGAGGATATTAGCCACAGCTCTGTGTGTACCCCTCACCCCAGCTCTGGGCTTTGAACAATTCCTGATAGCTCTAGCACGGGCAACAGTGATGGCTGGCCTCACCGCCTCGACCCTTGGCCCCTGGGGATCTTGCCTGGGTCCTTGGGCTGAAACAGCAGTTTGGTTCATATTAACCCTACACCAGAAAGAAGCAGAGTCCAACCTGCCAGGAGGCTTGTGGCTGTATCCTGCAGGGATGTACCAGCGGCATGGAGAGACCAGCTCACTCATACCAGACTGCTCTGTGCAGGCTTATTTCTGGCAGCCATGCTGATCTGGGGGTCTCCACACCGCTCTCCGTTGCTCCTGATGCCTGGAGGATTTTTTAGCTCATCTCAGCATGAAGGTGGCTGTACAGACTCTGCTTGGCTTGTGCCTGTACAAAGTGCTGCTTGCAAAGCTGGTAATCCCATGCAAGACGACTGACAGTGCTGTAAGCCCCCTGGAGCCATGCAAATCCAGCTCAGGTCTAGAGCAGAAATATTACCTTCTTTTTTTTCCTTATCCAGAGTATCCAAGTCTCTCGCTACTGGGAATAAAGGGGAGTTTAGTGCACAGGTCTTTCAGTCCTAGTTACTATAGAAGCAGGCAGTGGAAAGTCCTACATCTGTTCTATTATACAAACTCCTCCTTCACAAGCTAGCAGAAAAAAAAAAAAAAAAAAAAAAAAAAAAAAAAAAAAAAAAAAAGGCCAAACTTGCAAAATCAACTTTTTCCCCATTTCAGGGCTCTCTTACTCCAGAGCCCGCACACAGTATCCGTGCGCTGCTGCTCCAAGCTGTACGTAGTGGCCACAGCATCCTGCTGCACGCCGAGAGCCGCTGTGCTCGAATCCTTGGGCAGCAGCTCCATCTGCCGAGCCAGTGGCCCAGGATGAAACTCAGGGAGTGTTGCCAGGATTGTCCCACGGCTGTGTGGTGACTGGTCATCGGGCACCATCCCCTGGGCAGCACAGAGCCCGTCAGACCCTGTTGCATCAGGATCAGTGCTTGTGAAAACCAGAGAGTTTCTGAGGTGCGTTCCCTTGATAAAGAAGCAAACCAAGCAAAGAGTGATAAGCAAAGCAACAGGCAAGGTGAAAAAAGGTCATGTGCTGCAGCTGTAATCATGTGAGCAGGCTGGGGCACAGTGGAAATATAGGAAAATGGGGGGCGGGAAAAAAAGGGTGCTCTCAGGCTGCTCTGAATGAAGTCAGTGAGCTGGGCTTATGCCAGGTGAAGGAATAAGCCTGGAAGCGACCTGGTTTTGAGCTGGGCTTTCTCCCACTTAGGCTCAGACCCCTTGGCTTGCCTCACCACTTACCCAGCTTTGACCAGTGCAATGAAATCCCATCTTCAAAGCAGATGTTGGTGGAGGAATCAGTCATGATTCGTGCCAGCCAGCAGCCAGATGGATGTGATAGGGGTCTTACTACTGAAACTCAACCTGGTCATAGGTAAGAGAGACTTCCCTGTTTTTTCAGAAATCACCCCACATGGCTGAAGCTGAGCCTTTCACAAGCACTTTGAACCAGGCACCCAGAAGGAAGAACCTGCAAAAGGCCAGACAGCTGAACAGAAAGCTATTGAGCATTTGCACTTTGCCTGAAGGAGGTTACCCAGGGAGAGGGGAAGATTTCATCCATAAAATACTGAACAACCAGAGAGCCCCCCGCCAGAGACTCAGCCCTCCTCACCCCAGACACCCAGTGCAGGTTTTGCCATTCCTGTCCTGGGGTGGCACTGAGGGTACAGGACTGAGATCAGATTTTAAGATGCCTGCTGATGTCCCCAGTGTCATACAGAGTCTTGCTGGCTCCAAGGCTGGAGTGAAAGCCTAATGGATGGCTGTGCTTTTCCTGAGCATCCTATGGATTTTAAGCTGGTGCAATAGTTGTCTCCACTTGCTCTCCCAGCTGCTGTGTTGCCAGAAAGCAGTGCCTGTCCCACACCAGACAGGGCTGCATTTGGGTGTTTGGCAAGTGATCCTTGTGTTTGAAGATGTTGTACTATGTCCCCATCAGGAGATGAAGTTTCACTTGATCATCACTTCACTCTCATTAAATTCACCATGAGCTGCAAAATGTTGAGAAAAAGCAATACTCTCATCAAACTGACAATGGATCCAAGAACAAGGCTGCTCCATGGGTCTCGGGTCAGCAAGTAACCGATGTGGAAATTCCATGACTGAGAGCCAGCAATTACAGGACTATCCTGTTCCACATGGGAGAGACCACAGCTGGAAAGTAGCTTGATCTCTCCTAGGAGCAGCCCTGGAAAAGCTGTGGGAACAATCTGAAGAAAGCAACCCTATGTATGAGGCTACATAATGACATAAGCAAGCCAGTGCATCGCAGAAGAATACTTTCCTGCATATATAAGAAATAAGGCTAAAGTGGTGTTCTGAAAACCTAAAAATCTCAGTGTCTGATGCTCAACTGATTCATTTTGGTCTGTGCTGACACATCACTTTGACCAATTTTCTTCAGGGTTTAAGTATGGCATCAGTTTCTGGGTTAGGCTCTCCTCAGTCCAGGTGCTAGTAGGGAGTTCAGTGCCAGCCTGAAAGTCCTGTATCTCATTAAGGGATTGCTAAAGCCAGGAAAAAAAAAAAAAGGATTTGCCTTTGAATGCAGTGTTAAGTTTCATCTCTGGATGGAGCAGATCTCCAGTTGAAGCATGTCTCCAGATGGAGCAGACCTCCGGTCTGGTGCTCCATGGCAGGGTGATGGGCAGCAAGGAGAGCAGCTGGATTCTGTGCTGTGGCATCCCTTGTCACACTCAATGCCAGCCAGGGGACAGCTGAGCAGAGATGCTTCAAGACATCACATTGAAAGGGGAGCCCCAGCACATGCCCTTTAGAAGAAAAGTTGAATCTGAGCTGCTCATCACACAGAGGCAGGAGATCTGCTAAACATACTGGGATTGGGAAATCCTGAGTGGAAAATGGCAGGAAAAGAGTAGGGGACACACTTACTATTCTCTAAGTTTTCCCTCAGCATCCTCTGTGAGTCTCTGCTGGATTCAGGCCTGGGGATAGGCTGACCCTGCATGGTCCTTCCCACACTAACACTGCAGCAAAGACCCCTGGCAGCTGCCCACCTGGCAGGAGGAGGACACCTTCCTTGCACATAAGGGAAAGGATTTCTGAGTGTTAAAAAGCAACTGTGATCCAGAGGATTGAGAGAAAACTGGAATTCAGTATCTCAGAGACAGACTTCATGGCTTTGGGCAGATCACAGTCTCTACATGCCTCAGTTTCCCTTGTGTGAAATGGATGGCAGGGCCTGGAGGAGAAACACAGGAGATGTATCACCTCCCAGGGTCAGAGCAATCGCAGGATCCATGGTAAAAGAGCACAGTGACCTTTTCACACAGATATTTGCTGTGATGCTCTGCATCTGAAGGGGAGACAATTCTACCCTGAGCTCTTACCTCTCCTCCTTCTCCTGTGGGAGAGAGACACTCACTCAGTAAACATGGTGGAGAGTGTTTGCACTTTCAACCCCAGTCATGTGGAGAAGAGCTTAACATATGTGCTTTTCAAAATTAAAAATGCTTGGTATTTAGTGCAACTTGACATGTTCCCATGGGGAAAAGAAACCAGTAGTCCCAAAGAAACCAGTTCTGTAGTATTCTTCTTGAGTACAGTGCTATGAGCAAGCAGGAACAACCTCGCCAGGGCAAGAACTTACCCCAACCTTCCCTTTTGTTTGGCCATAGCATATCCCTCACCGGATCTACATCTGCCTAGGAAGAAGCTGGTCTGGTTTGAAGCCAGATCCCCCCTCTGAGAGGGGAAAAGCTGGCAGCCATCATCTCAGAGGGGAAAAGAGGGAAGTGCACGTTTTCAAGGCTCTGACCCAACCCCATGACCTTGCACCCATGCCAATGTTGTGCTGTCTTAATTTGACAGCTTGACCACTAAATGAAGCAGCTCCCAGCTCTCCAAGCAACCCTTGGTCTCATGGACAGAGCTGGAAGATGTGACACTGGTAACATCCAGGACTGGATCCCAAAAGTAAAAGTGAAGCCATCACTTTTATGTGTTTTTGTGCAAAAGGATTAATGATGTATCTGGGTGAGAATGACCCCAGCAAGCAGGTGGGACAGAACAGTGCAGAGAAGATGTGACTGCATGGGAGCATCTCGTTATCGAACTTATAACTGTCTTCTCCTGATGATATTTCATTCAACAGCCTTTGCTGCTGTCCTTGGGGAGGGGTGTGTGGTTTTCCCCCTATGCACAGTCCAAACTGATACATGAAAATTCAAACTCAGCTGAAGGAATCCTCAGAGCAAGCATTAGGGCAGACCCACAGTGGGACCCTGCTCCCCAGCCAGATGCTCAGCTCCCCCTTCCATCACCCTCCGGCTCCAGGACCCTGGCAGATGGTTTTATCTCCACCATGACCTACAACGGTGCTTAAACTCATGTCAGTGGGAATAATTCTTCCCAAAGGAAAAACCACCCTGTGACGGCACGTCCGAGTGCAAGGTTCCAGCAGGCACATCCCACGCCCCTCCCAGCACTCCTGCCCAACTTTGCCTTTTCTTGCCAGGCCAGCCCCGCATCCTCCTCTGCTCCCAGCCCTGGCGAAGGCAGCCCGCCAGCCTGCTTAGCATTCGGCTCTCACTGCTGGGAGCAACCGCGTCTGCTAAAGAGCTGAGCTCAGCGGCTCCGAGCATCTTCGTCCAGTGTTCCCCCCATCCTGGCTCGTCATATGATTTCTCCTAAGGGATAACTGCTGAGCGGGACCACATCTCCAAGCTGATCCTTTGCTGATAAGACAGCTGCCAAGTCTCCAGCACTAAGACAAAAGAGTTTTTCTCTTCCCAGCAGGTTTTTCTGCTGTGAATGACAGAGGAAGGGGGAAAAGCAAGCTGCCTGGCAATCCTTGTGGGCAAGAGGCTTTGGGGGCTTCTTCCCCCCCGCTGTGGTGGCAGACCATGGAGCTTTTCAGGCTGAGCCTGGGCTGTATTTGCCTCCTTCCTTGGCTTGAGGGTAAGTTTCTCCTCCTTTGGGGTAGCTGGAAAGTGGGAAGTGAACAGCCTCCCAGGTTTTAATCTGCTTTCCAGCCAAGTGCTGCTTGGGCTGCAAAGCTCTTAACCTACCAGCTGTAAAACAAGTGCCAGTGGGCACATTTCAAGGCAGCATTCAAAATGGGATTAAATGGAGGGGAACAGGAGAGTGAAGGACAGGCTGGCAAGGTGCTGGGATGGTTTGGCCAGGGACACTGTGGCATCATGCTGTTTGCTTTTATAAAGTGCTTTTAAACTGCTAAGAGTAGCGGATGAATAATCCTGCTCTGGGGGTGAGTCAGGCACTAAGTGAACTCCTGAGCACTTTGTTTGCTCCTGGCCTCAGCTGCTCCTTCACAGCAGAAGTGAGTGGGCTCAGAGCATGCTGGCAGCATGAGAGAGGGTGGTGGAAGGACAGAAGGACCTCGTTGCATTAGTCTTGTTCCTGTGGCACTCAGCGGGGAGTGGGATATGCTGGGGAGCTGCAGAGTCTTCACTGCTAATCTCTGTGGAGCAAACTTGGTAGTGGCTCATGTTAACTTTCAACTGCTTGTTGAGGTCGCCCAAATCCTGTATCCTGCCCATACACAGCATTATTTTGAACCCAAGCAGCCTTATTTTTGACATGCATGGGTAGATGCAGGAAGCAGAAGTCCTGCCGAGCATCATCGTGCAGAGCCAGAGAGGTGCTACCCAGGAACAGCTACCTGGGAGCAGTGCTGCCCGTGGTCTCACCCATCCCACCACAGGCAGTGGGCAGCATCATTTTCTCTAAAAATGGATGAAGCCCCTGAGCTAATTCCCTTTTTTTTTTTTTTTTTTTCTCCCATTGTGTCTGAGATGCCAGGTTGAAAAGGATTCATTGCAATAGATCCCTGAAGTGCTTCAAGGCTCATTCCATCCCTGAAACTGCAAGGACAGCCCTGCAGTTTTACAGGTTACCAGCTCAGAGTTTTTCAAGCTCCCTAGACCAGAGGACTACGACTATTTGGGCTGCACATCTAGGGTGCTTCTTTCTTAAAGACAAACTTCAGACTGGCAGCTCTGACCAGCTATTTTCCATTCCCTGCTCCACAGCCTCTAAGCACATGTTCCCTAGGCTGCTTTGAGCAGCTAGCCCTCAGTTTGCTCTGCAGCCAGCTCAAAGGAGAGGTTTGTACTCCTACAGATTTGACTTTTGCTCCATCTACTGCTGGGTTTTGCACCCCAAATCTTGCCAATTAAAGTAAACACAGTGAATTACATCTTTCTGGTTTTAAAGCCCCAGGCTGAAGGTATGTCACTATGCTAGTTAGAGGTAAGGACATGTGCATCTTTTAAAAGTCACAGGAGATTTGGTTAGGACCTGGAGGTGATACTGTGGTGGGTTGCCTTCAGGGTCTTGCTCTTTCACTCTAATACAGTTCTTGTCCAGTGTTAGAAGAAAGTGGTTTTTACTGCTGCCACACAACAGGAGCCCCATGGCTGTTTTATTAGTAAATGAAGGAGGATCACAGGACATTTCTTTCCCTTTCCAGCAAAATGCTTCTGGTGTAATTGCATGATCAGTCACTGCATTTCAGCTAGACCACTAATAAAACCACAACAAGTTTGCAAGAAAAGAATTTATCTTCCCAATACCCAGCAATGCCCAAAGCAAGCTCAAAGAGCAGAGAGCAAACGTTTTCTTGCCTGGGGCTGATGTCCCCCTGCAGCAAGCTCTCCCCACCCCATTCTGCCTGGGGCAACTGAGAGGTTCTTGCTCTTGACAGACCTTAGAGGGTTCGGTTTTCTGCTGGAAACGAATTCCTGGAATTGCCTAAAATGTGGTTTCTTTGGAAAGTCCCTGCAGGCAAAGAAGGAGATTTCTTAAGTCAAGCCCAACAGTAACCCAGTGAGGCACAGTGGGTGGTGGGAAGTCGGGTACCATCAGAATCTGTACATATACAAGCAAAAAGAAAACTGCTGAAATAATACTGCATTTAACACTGGCTCTCAATTCTCACACACTAAGTGTGAGTCTGGTGATGGCTCTGCTTGGCATCCTGGTCCAATCTCGTATCCCCATGGCCACTCTCCTCCCCGTCAAGCCCACGTGCAGTGCCGGCTGCTCCTTGACTACTTGTGCCCTGCTTCTCCTAAAGCTGCCCTAATCTTGCATTGAAGAGACAGAAAGGCCAATCTTATCTGATACTTCTCCTCCCCCATATAATTTTCCATCCTCTCACTATTTTCTGCTTGGGGGATTTCCTGACTCTGGTGTGTTTAAATCTTCAGCAGCTATCAGATCTTCTCCCTTGGCTTGTGCAGGCTCTCCCTAGCAGCATGGCTGTTGGGGTGCAGAGCCACCTCCTGCATGCTGTGAGCCTTCCCTTGGCACTCCTTGTCCCATCTGGGATCAGTCCTTGACCAGTCAGCCCCTGCGTATCTTTTCCAGACTTTTGGATTTTATAGATGTCCATCATATCCCCCTGGGGACTGGTTTTCCCCACAGGCATCAGTTTCATGTTGACTTCACCAACCTCCCCTGCTTCCCATCATGTGTTTTTCCATGCCAAAACCTTCCTTCTTTTCCTGTGGGTGCTCTGCTCCCTGGGAGGCCTTTGCTGAGATACTTGGTCAAAAGTGGACCTTGTAGTAACATGGAAAACTATGAAGCCTTGTTGGTCAGCAAAGGTGAGCTATTCTTAAGAAAGCAGAAATGGTTGGGAAAAAAACACAGCCCAATGTGGTTGCTAGAATCAACAGCTGGGAACTAGTCTTGGAGAGACATGTGACTAGAAAATAATCTGAGTGCAGACCAAGTATTTGCAATCAGGTACTTGCACTGGCAAGCCATTCGCTAGCTAATTACTGACAGTTACAAGAAGGCTTTGTTGACTTCTCTGTATAAATGACATGAGAAATAAGAGACGATTTGCTGCCCGAAGTGATGAAAACCGTGCTCCCATAAACCCAGAGCTCCTAGTTGCCAGGTAGCTGCTTACCCAGCTCCAGTTCTGCCTGTTCTGCCGGGCCCGATGGGCAGATGCCTGTTTCCTCACCCACAGGGACTCACCAGGCTCCATCTGCCATCATCCTCTCCATAGGTAGATTGGCCACATCTGCTGACCTCTCACAGGCATTTGCATCTCTAAGTTTTACATCCGAGTAAACACAGTCATAGGCTGAGGGAGGACCAGGGCAAAATAAAGCTAATGTTGGTTATAGTCAGCAGTCTGTTTTGCAAAAAAATACCTATTCGCACCTCCTGTCATGCTGCTCTTGGGCATACATTCAGGCAAAATAGACAACAGAGTGCAAATCTCTCTGATTCCTTGTGCATATCTGGACATTCTGTCTTTGACCAAACACATCTGGGTCACCACATCCCTCCTATGAGAGAAAGTGCCTTACAGCTGTTTTTCCTTTCTTCATCCCATGGCCCTGGGCTGTTCTGCACAGGCAGCAGGGAGGGGCTTGCTCTCTTGAATGGAGGGAGATCTTTGCACAAGGAGTTACTGCTGGACTGCATTCAAGTCTGCTCCTGCTCACTTATTCAGGGCCTTGTTTGTTGATACCTGAAGCATCTCAAGATGCTTGCTTCAGTTAGATTCCATGTAATGTTCCTAAAGGGATCACACAAGGCAATGTCTTGCACTGAGCTCCATCTGCACAGGGAACCCTCCTGTCTTAAATGGGAGCTTCCCTCTTCTGCTACTGCATCATCTCATTTCCATCTGGTCCTGGCTCTCTGCAGGAGGTGGAAACAGCCTGCCGGCCCCAGGGCAGCTCAGAAACAGCTTCCCCTCCTGTTTAGAATTGACATTATGGCAGGAAATCATAATTTTAGGCTATCGCAATGAATTATGCTCACTGATATGGCTAGTCACATGGAAGTCCCTTCTGCCTTCATCCAACGTCTCCCTGGTTTTGTAGATGTGTTACAAAAACCCCACTCTACATTTAGTCCTGAATTTGCATCCTGGTAAGTGATCTGGATAGAAAATGTGGTAGTTCTGCTTTACCAGCACAAGGCCCAGCAGTGAGGAGAGGATGTCAGGGGTGGTTAGACTCTGTGCTTTCCTGAAGGGAGAAGGTCCCACGATTAGTAGCAGGGTAGGGAGTGGTGGTGCCCCCATCACCACAGTGTCTGAGCAGTTAAAAATGGCTTTCCCTACATTCTCTAGTTAAATTTCTCTTCTTTTGGGCTGAGGCCATTTCTGGTAGGATCTGGAGTCCCTCATAGCTGCTTTTAGAGCTAGGGCAGAGACCAAGATTTCTGGCAGGACAACTTGAGAGTATGGGAGTATTCCAAAGCTTCTTCCCATCTGAACCTGATGCCCTCTGAACTGCTGTAATACTCCAACAAGACAAGGGGACCCTAAATCCTGGGAGAACTAATATTCACAGGGAGTTTTGCAAGGAGGCAAACATATGTAATGTATATGAGCACAGTGAGGGTCAGTCTCCATGGGTGCATGCTCCATAGAGAGGATACGATCTACTGCAGCAGTGAACAGTGGAGGAAGATTAACCTGAGCAGGAAACTCTCTGGCTTGTTTCACCATAACTCAGGCTGTGGCACTGCTGGCTCCAAGTTTTCTCAGCCACAGTGCCTGTGCCCCTAGTGCTGTGCTCATTTGGGGTGGAAGCAGCAGAGACAGCTTGGAGACATTTCTCCAAGCCACTGTTGCCACTGCCTGGGTGACTTGGGATGACCTGCTGTCAGATGGTGGTACCCAAGAAGAGCCACATTTGGGAGCCTTTCTGAGCTGTGGGATGGCCTCATGAAGCAGTACCTAAAAGGTGCCGTGGCTGCCACAGATGGATGCCAGTCTTCCAGGACAGGTAGAGGCAGGAAAAGGTAAATTCCTGACTGTGACTCAGCAGTCATCTTCTCCCTACAGAAAACACCCATTTGGCAAGAGAAATTGAGTTAATTGAAGGATTTTTACAAGAGTCAGGAACCCCACCAGGGACAGCAAAAGAGGCCAAAACAAATGCTGAGGTTCCCAAGTGACCTGGAGTGTTCTGGGAAGCTGTGCTTGCTCAGCTCTGACTTACCCTTTCCCTCCAGAGAGCCCTTAGAGGGAGCAACCCATCCCCAAATGGTTTGCAAGTGGATTTGATCAAGACATCACAGGCACTGCTTAGAAACAGCAAAAACTTTCCCAGCCAGACTGGGATCACTGGTAACCAAGGTTTTGCTGGTGGCATTACCTTAATTAGGAACACTGCATGGTTTTTTCTCCTAATCCTGCAAGGAACAGCATGTCCCAAGGGTGTCCATGCTGCAGAGAAGCAGGAGCGGGAGCCGTATTTGCTTGCTTTTCTTGTAAGCAGACAGAGTGGCAGTATCATAGGACAAATGAGCTGACATCAACTGCCTTTGCTAGAAATTGTTTATTTTGTTCCTAAAAATATGAAGAGGCCAAAATGTTCAAGCACGAGCAGCTCAAAGTAGGCATCTACTCAGGCTCTATGGGTAAAGCTGGCATTTTCCGAAGACACAGAGTCCCATCCCCAATGAGTACACTGGGTGCTCTGCTTACTCCAGGTTAACATTCCCAAAATGTTAGGGCTGATGGCCTTATTTGCTGGGCTGCTGGACAGTGGGACTTGGCAATGTTGGGGAGAAAAAGGTCATTTTCCCTCTTGAATAAGGATTCTTGGTGCCTGATGTGTATCCCAAGGTAATTATATTCCAGTGTCCACTGTACACAGGCTCACATCTTGGCTGGCAAGGATCACATGAAACACCACAAGAAAAATCCCACTGTTGGTAGCCAGCTTTACAGGTAGCTCAGTGTCACTGTAGGTAGAGACCACACTTGGACCACCACAGTTCAGAGGAGAAGAATTATGGCCCTAGGTTTGCTGCCACCCTCCCATGTAATGTTGAACCTAGCTAGACCGCTGTTCCCCAGCTGTAAAAATGGTAGTTATACTTTTGGACCTCAGCTATGGCATGAAGATAAAAATCTATCAATAACTTGGTTGTCATATGCTACTGAGGAGCTGTACAAATCTCAAAGGAAAGTTGCATTGTTAAGGTTCCTCAGATCAAGTGTAATTCCGTTGGCAGATGGGCTGCCCTGAACCTTCAGCGGAGTGAGTCTCTGCAATGTGAGGCCTGAATAAAACCAAGAAAGCTAGTAGAAAGGGTCAGCTCAAAAGTGCACAAGGCTGGTAGATAACATGGGGGCACATGATGCTTGCTGCTAACATTCAGGTAACACAGTGATTCTTTAGAGGGGAATGTATACCACCAGGGACTCTACACAAAGAACAAAACACAACTCTGCTGGCTGGGTTAAACAGCAATCCTCTTCAAAATTTTTTAACAAATGAAACTTTCAAAAGGACAATCATTGCCAAGTAAAGAAAAATAAAAAAAACCAAAACAAAATGAAACCCAAATAACAGAGAAGCTGGCATGTTTAATAACAAAACCCATTAAAAAAAAAAAAGAGGAAAATATTTAGAGGAGCAACCTAGAGATAGCATAAACTACTAACTGAAATTTTCTAACATATCTGAAGTAGGAAGTCAGTGGGGGTAAGAAGGCCAATAACTAACTGACCTAAATGTAAGGACAACCAAAGCAGGGTAGGGTTGAAAGGCTGGGTGGATTATTGATGTGTTCACTTCAGGCATGGTCAATGAGGTCCTCACACTCTGCAGTCTGAAGACTGTAATCAAACAAAATTGTCAACAGATAAAATTTTAGGGGAAAAAAAAAAGATAAATAATCTGTGGAAAGTGAGCAGCCCAGATGGCGTTCACACTGAGCTACAGGAAAGTAAAGGTGACTTTTTTTTAAACTTCTAAGAAGTATGTAAACTATTACCTAAAGCAGCCTCAGCACCAAAGGACTGCATTATATCAATTATGTTCATCTTAAGAGGGATCATTGCACAGCCTGGGGAAACACAGGTCACTTGGTCTGATTTTGACATCAGGCAAGTCAGTAGAAACAAAGAACAGAATTTTCAGACCCTCATATAAATGCAAGAAAAGTCAGCACAGCTTTTGTAGTGGGAATGCCCGACACCCACGATGGCATCAGTGAGCACATAAACGCGGTGAGCTGATCTAGACCTTGTGCTTGCATTTGCAACAGGCTTTTGGTAAGATTCTTTCACCAAGGCCCTTGAGAAACTCCATTTTGATGGAGTAAGAGAGAGACTTAGCCCACAGGCTGAAACAAAGAGGTGGAATAAGTTGGCAAATGGTGACAGCAGAGTGAAGGTATCAGCAGATGCCAATAAAGATCAAAAGGGGTGAATAATGAAGTAATTAAGTTTGGTGGCACAAAGTTATTAAGAATAATCAAAATTGAAGTTGACTGGGCAGAGCTACAGAAGGAGCTCATGGTACTTGTTGAGGAACAAATTAGTTTTTGAATTTAAGAGTTGAAAAATACCATACAGTGTACATGGGCAAAACAATTTTAACCATAAATACCTAGCGATGCTCTCTTAACGAGCTGTTACATTTTAGGAAGGAGGCACTGGCATCCTTGCTCTCTTGAGTGAACTCTTTACTGATTCTTACCCTCTTCCCCTATTAGCAAATGTTAATGCCCAGTGCTAGAGACAGGATGCTGGGCTCAGCTGATATTTAATCTGACCCAGCACAGTTCTCATGTTCCCCTGTTCCATGCTTATGCAGCTCTCAAATTATCACTTTGGAAATGGGTTTCTCCCAGTTAAGATGAAGCAAAAAGGTGAGAATCCTGGATTCCAGGTCCTAGAAAAAAACATGGTGGGAGGATTGTATCATCCCTTTGGATTTTCTAAAGATTATGGGAGATTACATATGAGGCATTCCTCCTGCCTTTGAAAACCAGCAGAAACTCAAGTCGAAGCTGCATTAAACATCCTCCCTCCGCTCAGCTCTCAATAAGGTGTAAAGCAGACAGGACTCACAAGCTGTCCACAGATCGCCCTGGAATTTAATTTCCATTTAGGCACATTGGCTTGGCAGGAATTGCCTTGATCTGTGGCTATCACAGGTCCACAAAACTCAGTATCCCAGCATGGACACATCCATCCTCAGAGCCAGTGCAAGGTTCATACCATGGTTTCTGGCTGCCTCTCCCCACGCATTCAGGCTGAGCACAAGGCCACGAGCTGTTTCTGATTTAACAATCTCCAGGCACTATAAATCTAGGAGACCCTTAAAATTTCCTGAGAGAAAACATAATAGCTCCTTTAAGCTATTGTTCACACCCTTCGTATTGTGTATTGTCTTCTGTTTACATCGTCAATAGTTATTTTAGGTACTGAGCCAATACTTGCTGCCAGGGAAAAGTATTGTTCTTTTCTTTGGGAGGGGAAACTGCAGAAAGAGTTGTTTAGATAAACATCAGTGTTCTTGTCTAACATCATTTTTCAGTCTCCTCTTCCTTCTCTTGCTCAATACTGTACGCTGATGGAGCTTTTATAACTCTGGCTCCTGGGGAAAAGAGGAAAATAAAAGTCACCACAAAAGCTGGAGTTACCATGTGGCAACTGTAATTAAAATTAAAGGATTTCTCACAATGTGAAGAAACTTGAAACTTCTATTTCTATCCTCTGTTTCAGGCATAAAATACACAGCAGAAGGTACACCCATGTCAGTAACAGACGGTTTAGCATTTAACATTTTGCTCAGGATATTCACAGGCCACACCTAATGACTTGTTACCAAAAATGAAGGCATTTGTCCAGCTAACAGGATGATATCCATCCCAGGTTATCAGAGATGTTGATTAAAATTGATTGTTGATTGCTATTAAAAGCCTCAGGCAATTACAGAAATTGCTTCAAACTGTGTGTCTGCTGTGGGTCAGCTGTAATGTCTCTCTCTTACAAAGCGACTGTTAAAAATGGTACCTTCATGCCTGGGGAGCACAGACCAATGTCAGGTGTGCTAAATTCAAGTTTATTTCAATACTTAACATGAACTGTGTCAGCCAAGGACTTCCAGACTTCTGATGGGGTATGGTTTTATCCCAGCATTGCTGTAATATCACCAGAAGCTACTTAATGGAAGAAGTAGCCCAAGGTGGCCTAATTTTCCCCAGGTGAATAGCAGCTGGGGAATTCAGGGGTTTCAACTGATTTTTATATGAAAGATTTGATCCAGACAGAGGCAACCCCCCCCCCCCCAATCATCTAATTATTTTGGATGGAGAGAAGGATGGGTACCTATTTAAAGCTATAACCAGTTGAAATACTGAATTAAATCTATGTAGGCAGATATTTCTTAACAGTACAACTTTTCAAAGATGGTGAGTTTTTGCCCATTAGCTACATGGGTTACTTATGTCATTGTTATTTTTCTCTAGTGTTGCTCCTGGCTATTTGCACACCCTGTATTTTAAAGAAAAGTCATTCTGGGGAATTAGGAAGCTGTGGTAACTGTTCATCTAGGCATGCCCATCCAGGAAAGGACTGGTGGGTTACATCTCCCCTTCCCCAGGGAATTTACAATGTCTCAGAAGATGCATTTGCCTCACACATGCACATGCTCTGATTGTACTGCAGTAGCAGAGGGACAAGGCTTCCTCATAAGGAACACTCGGCTGGAAAAGTGCATTCGCATCTCCCACCATGAGACCAACAGCATCAGCCTGACTGACTGCAAGGTGCAGTCCCAGCAGCAGCAGTGGAGCTGGGACCCTGCCACCAGGACCATCGTCAGCCTTCAAACAAAGCAGTGTTTGTCAGCCCACAAGACACAGGAGTATGCCCTGGTCAAGATGGAGCCCTGTGGGGACTGGGAACGCCAAGCGTGGTCCTGCAGCAAGAAGGGACACTTGACTCTGCAGAGTCTGAACTTCCACCTCAGCGCCAAGGAAAGAGGCCACAAGCTCTTTGTTTCAAGGGAGAAGGGCAAATTCAGCAGGTGGAAGACTTTAGCAGATGAAACTATCTGTACTGCTGCCCAGACAGCAGCTCCGAGGCCCAGAAAACCATCACAACAAGCTGTAGAGACACATGTGTGGATCTATGAAAGTAAGATCTAGCATCAGACAACATCTAACCTTACATGTCACCCAAGCCACCTAACACCAGGCTTGCATCCATCATTCTAACTCATGTTCACTTCAGCCCCATCTGAGAGATACCAAACGGCTCCAGGTCAGCCCAGCTACTTGGTACCACTTGTTTCCAGTAGTTGCTCTTCAGTGTTTTCCAGAAAACATGCAAGACCTTACAGGATCGGGTCTCTAAACCTCAGCTGCATTTCTGATGACAGGCAAAAGTCAAGTATTTTAGAAAGTTAACCTGAATTGATGCCCAGATCTAAGCATAGTTGGAGTTGCTTGAGCCTCCCAAGTCCAAAACAACAAAGGAAGTCCCATAAAGTCAGGCACTTAAGATTTTGAAGGGGCTTTTGGTACTTTGTGCTTTGGGATGTCATTTTTGGTAACAGCAAAACAGAAGGCAGCTGAGAGCCTCTTTTAAACTTGTATGAATTATTGAAGCAGCTACACTTGAGATGAGAAATTGCTGTTTCAGTTTCTAAGCAACACATTATAGTTATCTCCTGCCAGACCCCAACAGTGCACCTATCACTAATGAAACCACAGTTCTAACCTTCCTCCCATGCTCTCATGATCCTCAAAAGTGAACCTCGCTCCTGGTGCCTGATGTAACCATAAAGAGATTAGTGAATACAGCAAGTAGTGGGAAGTAGTTAAAGTGCTGCTCTCCCTTGGCATAAAAATCTCTAGAACATGACATCAAAAGTTATAAAAAATCTGGTTTATATTATCAGTTTTATGGCCTTGGTCTCTGCTAAAAAGAATCTGAACTTTGCCTTTATGAGTCTTCGCTATCCTCTGCCTAGACTGGACACAAAAAGGGCAGAAACCCTGGTCCTGTCAGAGTTTTATGTGTTGGACACCAGGCTAACAGTCATCAGGCATAGTCACTGCACCAAGATGTGACTGTCATCATTTGTCAGATGTCCAGTGAAGCCCATTGCCGACCACTGATAAATCATAGTCCCGTCTGTTTCCCTTTCATTTAGTCCCTTATGAAAAGGAAGGTGGTTTCAGGACGTTTCTTGTAAAGCTGTGTGCAGAACTGACATCTGAAAATCACACTCAATTGAAAATCACACCCTTGTCCTCTTCTGCTCCCCCTTCTTCCACTCCAAGGACCAGAAAAGAGCTGGCATTTGTAACAACACTTCTGTGTTTGTCCGCTTTGCCAGTGTTGAGGTTCCCAAACTTCCTCAGGGAAAGTTATTTCCTTTACATGAGGTTATTCCTTACCTTAAGGCTTGATGGCTCCAACAAGATTTTCAGCTTTGCAGAATTGAGTAAAGAGAAAATGTGGTTGGCATAAGCAAATGGATTACAAGTATAACCTTTTGACAGAAGGAGGCTTTATCTAATTTGAAATTAAAAGAGATGCTTTTTTGGCTATTATGTGTAGGTAAGATGGCCTTTTTACTGAGGCTTTTAATTAACCAACTAGAAGGTTAACATGTAATTACCACAGTAGTCACGTGTTAATGTTTGTTTAATATGAGGGTAAATATAGTCAATACAAATTAGATACCATAACAAACTAGTTAAATATAGGCTAGGAAATGCGTGGAACATTTAAGATATGGGAAAAAGGCATGTGAAAAGGACATTTGCATTCCCCAAGGCAATGTTCCTGGCAGCCCAGGGCTGCCTTGGAGCCAGGCTTCCCAAATAAAGCTTCGAGGGTAAACACAGCGCAGGCTTTGAATCAGGTTGTGCCAGTTGGCGTGTCTTGTGCAAACTGATAATTTTCCTATCAACCCATGGTTCAGAGTCTACTGGAGGGAAACTCTGACTACTCAGTAATGACATCAAAAACCTGTGTATTAGTTTAGGCCTTTCTTATCCAAGTTTCAGTTGACCATCAACAGACAACTTTTACTTCAGTGGGTTATTTGCTCAATAAATTACACCCCTGTACCTGTGGATGCTCGTGTGACAGGAAGGGATGGGGTTGGGATAAGCAGCAGGGAGCCCTGCAGACATGGGTTACTTGATCTTGCCATATGCATCAGTGCAGGAAAAGGGTGACTATTGTTGCCACAAGATTTCCCACAACCTCCCCTCTAGCAGTAGTTGCTACCCCGCATACCCTACTTCTGCAGTAAGACTGCCAAGGCAAAGGATGCCATTGAACTTTGAAAGAGATATGGAATATTTATCACCCTTTTCATCCCAGTTCATCATCTACTGAGTTGGCAATACCTGTGATGCTTCCATTTGCCTCTTCCTCACACCTCGTCCTTTAACAGCTGGTGTTGCACTCATACTTTTCAGACCAATGACCTTATTTAACACCAGAAAACAAGCTCTGTTTTGGCTGTGGATTCCATCTTGGGTGGTTCATTTCATCTTTGAAATCTGTGAGAATAGAAGGCCCCTGATGCACAGGAGGTGATCGTTATTGCACCATGTCTTGTTCTTTTTGTGGGGTAGAGAACTAACACAGCAGGGCTGGGTTCCCTTCCCTTGCTGGGCCCTGACCATGTCCAGTTTTCTGTACAAAATGTAAATGATAATCACACACATCTTTGCTTTATTTTCTTCCAAGCTAAAACCATTGATTCATCAAAGATCGATGCCATGGACAGAGAAACTTCTGTGAGCTTTACTGACCCACCTCTGGCTACCAAATTTAACAGCACAGTGTCTCCAGTGAAGACCAAACAGGCATACCTCCCGGCAAATGAGGGTGAGCACTTTTCTGAATACATATGCAAGAACAGCAGGAAAGAAAGTGTGAGAAGCATCTAGAGATTACTCAGGTATTTTCAGTGGTGGTAAGTACCTGAGTACTTCTGAAGAATTTCCATGTGTACCACTGAGTGGTTCAAGGCTTTGCTTTCACACAACATGTTGAGATGCTTGCCTTGACAAGCAGTTCGGTGATATGGCCATAGTCTTAATATGGAGACACAGCCATCATATGTTCTAGGAGCAAAAATTATCTGTGGCTGGGGAACGCTGAGGAACAAGAAAGTTTTCCTTTCCCTTTTCCTTTTCAGCTCCATACAAAGGGGATTTGTAGTTACAGTGCCCCAGGATGAAGTTGGAGCTTCCTCCAGTCCAACAGCGGAAGCTGCTAATCTGAGTCTCTCTGCTTCTTCCCCTAGATGCATCCCACAATCACTCTAAAAAGCACCATGGAAATCGAGGAAAAAATGCTGGGGCCAGGCTTGCAGGTAGGTCTGGGGATCAATCAAAGGAGGAAGAGAACAAGTGGATGAAGGTTCATCAGTGCCCCTGACTTTCCCATCAATGCAGAGTTACATTCCCCTTTGTCCCGCTGAGGGTGCTCAGTAGGGAACCAGGGCACCAAATTACCTTTCAGAAAAACTCCTTTTAAAGATTAAACAAATCTCCCCAGGCCTGGAGTACAAAAGTGACTAAAACCATGCAAATGATTTGTCCCAGCTCACCAGGAGAAATAGATACCCATTAGCACTGGTGCCTTCCCCCAGCCCTTCTTATTTCCTATCATAGAGCTGCAGAGCAGAGAAGCATGAACAGTTATTGTCCTCCTAGCAAGAAAGAAAACATTTTTGTGGCCATTTTCAATAGAGGGATGCTGTGCAGTGTAAAGCAGCTGTAAGATATTGATCTTATGGACAAAGCACGTTTCCTGTTATCTGCTAGTCTTTAGGGACATTACAGGTGTTTTTTGTGGCAATCATGGCTATTGCATAAGAATACAGCAAACGCATGATGGGTTTTTTTTATACGCTTTTAGGCACCAACTGGAAAACAGCCATGCTGGTTCTCAGCCCCTTGGCATTCATACTGGGATTAATAATACTGACACTCAATGTTCACTACAACAAGTAAGTGAGATTCAGGTTCATTCAGTTTGCCACTTCCCTGTCCAGCATTTCAAAACAAGTCTTGATCTTGGCACCCTTCCCCATCCCACAACCTGAAGTCTGGCTCTGAGCAGACTGGTCTGCTCACCCATGATGTCACCCTTGATGACTTCTCCTCTCTGACACCCTGTTTCTCCTTCCCACTCACTATCCCGTCCAAATGCAGCTGCTAATGTTGGCTCCTGCTCTCCTGCATACCTTGCACAGTCTCTGAAGGTTTAGGGAATGTGGGCACTATGGCTGCGGTTGACATGGGGAAGCAGTCAAGTGACAGGCAGATGCAATTATGTACCCTCTTCTCTCTTCTCCTAGGAAAAAGAAAATTCTCTCTGCTCTGAAGAGCTCCCCAGACAACAGCAGCAGAGCTGACTTACGGGAGCCGTCTCCCTTACGAAGAGGTCCCCAGCCATACCTTCCACCATCTCGCTCCCCTTCCTTGAGGCATGGAGAGATACTCATCGAGTGGAAAGATGGGACTGTCACTCCTCTTTTTGATAATGCCAATTATCAAATGGACTAGCTCCAAATTAGCGGAGCTGTTGTTCCATCCTGTGTCACTCTTCCCATCAGGAAGAGTGCCACCATAGCCAATCTCCTCCCTAGACTTGTTTTGACAGGGAGTTGTAAGCGCTGTTTGAGATTTTTTAACACTTGAGAACAATCTCCTTGCACAGCACGAGGTTGAAGCAAGCAGAGCAGATTGTTTGGTTTGCATAGGCACATGCTGCTTAGCTCTTCCAGAGCTAATTTAACCCCTAACAAAACCTAGATTTAGCTAAATGAAGCCAAGTCTCTCACCAGCTGCAACTGTCCATTGACCTGAAATTCTAGTTACTGAGCATATGAAAAAGTCCTCAGAGCCAAGGTGTAAGGTGAAAAACGGAAGTTTTGATGATCCTTAAATCCTTTTTAAGATAAAACTAGCTGCCAACAGACACAGAAGGCTGTCAGTTACTTTGTCAATGTGAGAACATTGATAATAAGCATTGCCTTCAGGACTCAAAAGATTAGTCTCCTCCAGACATCTGCCAAAATACTCCTCCCACTAAGTTATCAATTAAGTAATAGCAAGCAATTTTTCTAACTTAAAAGGAGCACTCCATCATTCTCTCTGCACCACTGTGAGAGTTCTGCTGAGAGAATGCGTTCTCAAAATATTTCCATATTTAGGATGTATTGGACCTTATTATAACACATATCCTCTTTCTTTATGTAGAATGACACGTAATGTCAGTGGTGCTTGTCAGGGATATTACATTATCCAGCCATTTTATACCAGTTTCAGCCCCTGATTTCCTATAATATGGAATAGTCAATGAACAAATATACTGCTCCCATCTAGAGCAGTAATATAGTGGGGATTTTTTTCTAGAAAGCAATAAAGCACAGTTTACAGCTTTTTACGCATCTTGTTTGAACATAATTACCTGTGACAGTCACACTCAATCTTGATCTTTTCCCAGTGAAACCTGCAATGTCTTCGTGCTTTCCTAATATTAATGAATTTATGCTTTCCTTCTCTCTGATTTTGTGATGATGTAAACCACAGTCATGGCTATAAATCAGGAACTAGTTGGAGAAAGAAATACTAACACCAGGAAATTACAAGTATGAGCTGCATCAGTATTTGTTCAGTAGAGCAAGGGGAACCATATTCTAACCTGTCTCTCATTCAGGCTTTCCACCACCTAAATTAGTTTTTTGTGCTATTTCACTGGAGCTTGGACTTCTCCAGAGTTTGATTTTATTTAACCTAAGGCAGAAGTAAGGTCTCTAGGGAATTTAAAGTCTCTTGATTTAATTATTTTTTTTTTAAACATAGGTCCACAGCCTGGCAAAAAGTTAACCGCCATGAGATATTATTATGACCAGAAACTTAGCTGGTCTCAAGAAAGAAAATAAAAACTTTATTGGTTTAGGGCATAAAAATCATAGAGGTTGGAAGTAAATATCTCCCCAGGCAGATTATTCCATAATTATTTACTGGAGGGCTTCCCACTTACTTCTTGGGAAAATATTTTACTACTAGACATAGGCAGAGTAAGAACTCTTTCTTCACCAGTGAGCAATGAACACAAACAAGAGTCAGAATTAAATTCCATCTTTCCAATGTTTCCACTTTAAAACAAATTCAAAGACTTTTGGGTCAAGTTTCCAAATGCATAAGCATCGTTTTACACACAAAATTTGTGAGAATATATTCCGTACATAAATTGCTCAATGCACAGACGGTGGTTCACCAATTATCAGTTATATCCCTTGTACCTTTTTCTACTACAATTAAGATGCCCACCTTTGAATTTTTGCCCAAGGAGCACATCACCTCACAGTGATTACAGCACTTGTTACCCTCCAAAACCTTGACACACTTTGAGAACACTATGTATGCAGTGCTATTAAAATGGAAATACTTACTTGGAGTTCAGCTAATGTGCTTTCCAAAGCAAGAAGTGCTTATGATCATTACTGCTGAATAGGCAGAAGAGACGACTTGTTAGTGACTCTCTATAATTCATACTTAATGTGCTAATCTTGCTTATAAACATGAAGGCAGTAACACCACTGTTTACAAAGCACTGTTTAAACGATAGCTCAAACAATAATGAAAAAAATAAGACTGTGAAGCAGCACAGGCTTTTAACTGTTGTCTCCCCCTCTCTTTTACTGGTTGTTATATTTTAGTTATTTCTCACTGGTTTACCTACATTAGATGCTAGAGAATGACCTTTCCAAGGTATGGACAGAGGACCTGAAGGTGTGAGTCTTCATCATGAGAGGTCTTAAAAAGCATGTTAACCAAATATCCATCAGGAAAGACTCCAAAGTATTGATTCTGCATTAAGGCTGGACCTGGTGACAGTGGGAGACACTTTCTATCCTCTGCTTCTTAAGCTAGCCGAGAAACACTCAGATCACACAACCTATGTGCTGTTCACTCTCTGCCATCACCTGAATGCAATGCTTGTAAAGTGTTCATGATCAAAATAAAACCTGACTGTAAAGTGGAGAAGCACTGAAAATGTTTATGTGTATATATATACAAATCAAAAGCCCCCTTACTGTGTACCCTTTTGTGTGTGTGTGTGCGTATACGCGCACACACACACACACACACAAAAAGGATGCATCACAAGAGGGCTTTTATAAATCACTCCAGAGGAAGATAATGGAGTCATGAGCAAGACACCACTGTCACAGCAGTACTGACATTGTTAATGCATGCTGCACTGAAGGACGAGTGCAGACAGTAACACTATGCCAAACTGCTGCCCCTATTTTTCAGCCCAGTTTTGCTGCACCTCGGGTAGTGCAGGTCTCCTCCAGGGCTGGTGTGATACTGATGACCTTCACTTTACTCTTGCAGCAAGGAAGGAGAGGAAGACAAAGTGGAAGTAGAACCCACTTTCTCATATATTCATTTGCTTTGTGAGTTCCAAGTGCTAGGCAGCAAAGGCTAGAGGAAGGAGAGACACTTGTTCTCTGCCAAAGTTGCCTGGGATTCAGAAAACCTCATTCCTCATTAAAAATTTTAATAATGCCATCATGCTTTTTTGGTATTTTATGTACCAAAACATCCAAGAGATTATGAACTGTTATAACTGAACAGGCATAATCATAGAGAGTGATAACCCCAGCTCCCACCGACATCAATGACAAAATAGAGGCCCACAACAAAGGTGGTGCAGGCGAGCTCATCAGTACCACCGCAGGCTTCTGCAATCCTCCCGTGAGTACCTAAAGCACCCTGCTGCCAGTGCATGGGGCCCTGCTGCCCACACATGCGTGCAGGCTGCAGCCACAGAAACACAGCTGCTATCCAACAGATGCAAGATTGCACATCAGTTTAGATATTCTTTGCAGAAAATGTTGTATTAGGCAGAATAATTTCCCTTTCCCAACTCCCTGAATAATATATGGCTAAGGTGTCTGATAAAGAGCAAAAAGGAAAATAAAGAGGCAAAAGAACTTCAAGTTTACCATTGAAATACTGCACATCAACTGTTTACTAAGACTCTTTGAATGGAAAATGTTTTCATAACAGTACATTAGTGATGTACATAAATTCATGATACAAACAAACAAGACTTGAAATGATTTGACAAGTTATCACAGAATATCAGTGTAGGAGTTGGGAACAGAAATACTGCTTCCCCATTTGAAATGCAAGGTGAAACTCCTGCAGTAAACATTTTGTTATTAAAAATCTCCATATGCTAATTTTTTCAACTCTGTAGTTATACATTAGCAAGTCAAGAAATAAAGTGTTTGGTTTTTCAAAGGAATCTGTTCAGCACTTCAGGGGCAAGAAAAAAAAAAGGAAAAAGAAAAGGATACAGGGACAGAGGAAGTCTTTGTTAGCTCTGGGTTTCAATTCAGACATCTCTGGCTTACAGTTCAATCAGACCATGCTTTTTTATGTTAGGTAGGGGAGACAAAAGGACAAGCTCTTTAAAAGCTCTTCACTGAATTTGTAGGTTTAAAAAAGAAATCTACATTTCTGCAGCCATGCAGTTCTCCTGGTTAATAAAAAAACAAACCAAAGCAAAAAAAAATATGTGCTTTTTCAGAAAGCCTGCTTATCCTTCACAAAGGCTTTTATACTTTGGAGCAGAGAAACTGATGCACTTCTTTCAGCGTAGCTTGCATGTCTTCATATTCTGCAAATCTGCAAGCATCCTCCAGCTTCAGCCATTGGAAAGCTTGGTGCTCCTCCGAGAGCTTGATTTCTGTGTTACAGTCCTTCATTTCTGCCAGCCAGTAAATGACGGTCTTGGGTTTGCCACGGACAGGATAGTGCAGCTCTTTCTTGTACCCCTCTACGAGGGTGAGCTGACTGGCCTGAAGACCAGCCTCTTCCTGCGTTTCCCGGAAGGCTGTCTGCAGGTCGTCCTCTCCTGGATCCACATGGCCTGTCAAGAAGGTGAAAAAGTAAGTCTCTGAGAAGGAAACTCAGATTTTATTTATTAAGCTGACACCTAGGAAACATGGGAAGTCAGAGTACACTAGCTGATACAGAATCAAACAAAAATTTGAGAACAGAGATTGCTTTCCCAACTCTTATGTCTTGATTTGTCTTTGTCTCATGGCTTTTAGGATCACTGTTTATACCACATATCCTGAAAATCCCAGTAGCCTGTCAACACTAGGCATCTGTTCTTCTGGTGCGCCTCTCCTCTTCTGCAGCACTCTGCACCCATAATCACAGACGTTCGGGTTGGAAGGGATCTCCAAAAAACACCTGGTCGGAGCCCCTTGCAATGGGCAGGGACATCTTCAACTAGATCAGATTGCTCAGAGCCCCTTCCAACCTGGCCTTGAATGTTTCCAGGGATGTTCCACCTGAGATCATACTGAGGACTGAGCGCCTCATGAATGCCTTTCCTTTATCCAGTTAGAGGGGAGACTGATCATCTGCAAGACTCTTAGTCCTCTCTCATCCCCTCCCTCCCACAGAAGTTTAAGGCTCAATTCTGCAAAACTTCTGCTCATGCTAACAGCCCAGAAACAACAGGACCAGGCACCAACAAAAGCCATATAAAAGGTGGCTTTCAGTTAGGTGGTTAAAGGCAATTTGTTTCTCTCCCATACTCCCTTCTGAAACACAGCAAGTCTCAAAGCCAGTCCTTTCACCAGCTGCGTTGTTCTTCTAGGACACGTCATTTATCTTACGTTCTCAGAATGAGAGGTGCCATTACAAACAATGGATAAATATAACATATCCCCAGCTGTTTGTACTTTTGTTGAGAAATGTCAGATTTGGTTTTCTCATGAAAGCTCCAGACCAGAACATAAATAGAACAAGCCAAGCAAGACCTCAAAAAAGCAACATAGCAGGAGTTGGGAGGTTTCAAGAGGGGAAAAAATGTTATGCTTTATCTTGCCCCTGGTGTACTCTATTTTCTATGCAGCTAGCTGCAAACAGCTGTAATTTCATGACAGAGGTGAATCTTTCCACAGGGTCCAGGTACCCAAAGCCACCCTTTAGTATTAAAACTGGGGTTTGTGGGCAGTTCATTTTGCTTTCCCAACAGGTCTCATTCATTTCTTTGTCTGTGTGTGATAAACTTAAACACCTCTTACAACATGACATCATCTCAAATGTAAAATACACTTCTCTTTCAAGCAGCAACTGTGCAGAAAACAGCATCTGATTTGCACCTGACATCTCAGATATTTGACATCAAATACATGAGGCTTTAAGTAAACATATTTCCCCCCTGAATCTCAGCACTGCAAGTCAAGCTGTCTCCTTTTTGACAAAGTATATATTTCCATATCTGAGACATTACTAACAGCTGAGAAACAGAATCCACTTGGCCTTTCACAGCTGGATTACTTTTACGGTAGCCGCAGCAAATGCCCACAGAACATCCACAAACAGTAAGTAATCACTGATTTTTATGGTAGTCATGATCATAGTCACCAAACGCGCAACAAGTTGAGGTAGCAATAAGAAGCTGGAGGGCTGAGATTCTATTTCAACACAAATGACACTAGTGCAACCTCCTGCCCTCCAGCACAGTGAAAGGCAACCACCTCACCCTGCTGTTGATAACCTCAAGTCTCAACTCAGTAAGTTTCCAACTTTGTGCAGTACAGTCTATCTACTGGGCAGAAAGAGGACTGATAGCAGCAACACCTCACACCACAGCTTCCAGATCCTCCCAGCTGTTTACACAAATACAATCCCAATATGCTGAGGAGGAAAATGAACCCAGCAACTCCTTACTATCAGCCTTGGCTACTGCAAAGTCACAGTTCTAGAAGCAGAATTAAGACTAATGAAGCTCAGGTGGGGAGATCCAAGCAAGTCCAGTTTGATCCCATAAGGGTTGCAGCTGTTTAGGGAACTTCTGAAATATCAATGTATAGCTGTAGCTACAAATGGCCTTTTGCATGCTCTTGAAGAGATGATTACAACTTCTCATTCTGGCTCCTGCCACATTAAATCTATGTCTGCATCATATACAAGCTATGCTACTGCATCACACCTGAGGCTGCCTTTGAAGGCCACTCATATCACAGAGAATATATAGCTCCCCTTCGTTTATTGCCCGCAAATCTGCGCCAAGCTACTATTAAAGGCTGCCATCAGATTGTGGCTTTTGATCTATAAAACCTTAAAAAATATGGTGAAGGAGGGGATTATGTCCCTCTGCTCTGGTGAGACCCCACCTGAAGTCCCTGTGTCCAGCTCTGGGGCCCCCAGCATAAGAAGGACATGGACCTGCTCGAGCGGGTCCAGAGGTGGGCCACGAAGATGATCAGGGGACTGAAGCACCTCCCCTGAGAGGACAGGCTGAGGGAGTTGGGGTTGTTCAGCCTGGAGAAGAGAAGGCTCCAGGGAGACCTTCTAGCAGCCTTCCAGTACTTAAAGGGGCTCAGTAGAAAGGCAGACACAGACTTTGCCACAGGGCCTCTGCCGACAGGACCAGGGCTGATAGTCTGCAACTCACAGAGCCCAGATTCACAACAGATACAAGCACCAAGACGTCTTCTACCACCAGCCTGCTCCTCAAACACTGCAACAGCTTGCCCCGAGAGCTGGGAGCTGCCCCATGGCGGCAAACTTTTACCGTCACCTTGGACGGGGCTCCCAGAGACCTGATCCAGACCAAGACGGCCCTGTTCGTGGCCGCGGGGCTTGGACCGCAACACCTTTCATGGTCCCACTCAACCCAAATCATTCGATGATTCTATGATTTTGAGTGCATGAGATGTATGCCTACAAGTCATTTCATTCCCTACCAAAATGCCTACAAGTCATTTCAATCACTCGTCCAGAATTACTGTGCTCCCAGTGAACCTTTCCACATGGATAGCTCCTCTCATAACAACCAATCGTGTCCCAGCACATGCTTTTTAGCCTTCTAGTAGGCTACAAATGCTATTCCCTTAGGCTTTTGGTAAAGTGGACAAAGGAGGAGGTCTGGAAAGTTTCGTTCTTTCCCTTAATAGGACAGCACAGTTGATTCTGTTACAAGCTTTTTTTTTCCCAACTGCAATTTCCTGTTTACAAACTGCTACTGCACTATGCTTTAGGAGCACTGCATTTTACAAAACAAGAAGTTAAAACTAGCAGGAAGAAGCCTCAGAGAGCAAGCAACAGCATATAAGAAGATCTACAAGGAATCTGAAGTATTTCTTCAGGTTGCACTTTTCCCTGTACCAACGCTGTGACTATGTACTACCAAACACTGGCTCTGCCATGTGACTTTACAGGCAAAGTGTTGAGATATGTCTTGGGGCACTGGGCTTGTCTTCTCCTTTGGGGCCTCACTGATGAGCAAGGATGGTTTAGCTGAAGATGGCTGATAAGACTACTTCTCCTAATTGTCCCTCTCAACCCTGCTGCATTAGGTATGTGCTCTTCATTAGCAATTTCCTGAACTTAAAGAAACTCCTGCATCTTCTAAGAAAAGTATTTTAAAGTAAATCATCATCGATTTCAGTTTGCTTACTAATGTTGCACTCCAAATTGTGACCCTGCCAATTGTATATGGGCCAAACAACCATGCCCGGCAACAGAGATATCTAGCAGAGGGCTGAACCTCAGTGAGAAGGTAAAAATTCCTCTAGCTACCTAATTTCAGTTGTCTGCTCAATGTCTGCCAGAAACATCAGATATCTGAGGAGCACGATTGTGTGGCACCCCCTCCCCAACTCCAATCAGTTGTGCCCAACAGCTTATACAGTCACAACTTGCAAAGAGTATCAGCCACAAAACTCCCCACTCAGCTGCACAAACAGCATAATCAGTGGTTACTGTCAACTGATTAACTGGCCCTCAAAACTGACCTTAGCAGTGTTAAGACAAAGTTCAGTCTGTAATCTCACTCACTCCTGACACAAACGACCTTCAAGTGTGTTATCAGAACAAACATCACCTTTTGGTGGGGTCCAGTGATGGGTCCCGTAGGACGTCTGAAGGAGGAGGTATTCAATGCCATCAGCGACCTTAGAAGATGGTGCTGACTGCAGCCTCCTGTAGATGATCAAGCCACAGGCTCTCACAGCCATGCCCCTCTGTTAACTGCACGGGGAGCTGTGGAAAAGCACAGAGGATCAAGTAGGAACAACATACAACAGAGAGCTCAAACAGACTAGTTGTATTTAGCCAGCAAACATATCTCAGCCTGTGCTAGAAGTCGTCCATCCCTTTGTGGTTACGACACAATTAAACTGAATCTTATTAACTATCTTTGAATTGTAAAAAATTGAGTCCTTTCTTTTTAAAACAAGGAAATGAGAACCTATATTTAAAAAAAAAAAAGTTATCAAGAAGCATAAACTATGACTTGCATGACATTTCTTTGCTGCTATTACAAACCACACTGTAGGGAGGGGATTAAAAAAAAAAAAAAAAGCAAAAGGAAACCCACTGATTAACACTCTGAAGTGTTTCCCCTGCAAAAATCCAAAGGCTCTGTGCAAAGATAATACCTCAACATTGCTGGAAGTGACATACAGAAATAATTGCCCAGGACAGATTCCCTGCAGCAGAGAACTCCTCAAGATGGCAGTGGCAGAGCCAAGAAAATGAATGCCAAAGGACAGGCTCTCTGCTTCTCTGGACTAGACACGAGGCTGTGATACAAAACTAAAAGCTTCTTGGCATACATGTTAAGCAATAGTCTGACATAAACAGAAAGGAACACGCCTCAAGTGACAAATGGAGATGAGAAATCCACGTTAAAGAATACAGCAACTTCCAGTTCCAGCCAAAGCTTTGCGTTTTGACAGAGCTGTGCATTTCATTAAGTATTAAATTTACACAACACTGTTTTCCCCCTGGATGCCCATTAAGAGATTGTGACACCTCCAGTTTCCAAACCGGGAAAACACAGCAGAGTCCTTCACCATCAACCAAGCCCCAGCAGAGTGTTCAGCTCTCTCGGTTAATCCCTCTTCAACTGCCTCAATTATACTCTCATCAGCCATGCCTAAGATAACGCCTCCCGCCAGCCAACAAGGCCCCGGGGCAGCGCAGGGACCAAACCCGGCTGATTCGGGGCCAAGAGCCCGCCCAAGGCAGCAGAACAGCACCACCTCCCGTACGCGCCTGGAAACGCCGTGCTCAAAAGCCAAGAGCCTGGAAGGACAAACGCCACCTTTTGAAAGCCAT